TTTTTTTGCAAATTTTCCCTGATCGCTGACTATTTTTCTCCCTAGCACGGCTAAGTCATGCTTGTGTAAACTGTAGATTTCGGGTTGTTCCTAATACTCATTTTCTTCTATTTTATTCGTCTGCATGTTGGTCCTCGTCCATCTGTTTGACTTTATTTCATATAATTGCAATTTGTTCTTTCTCCATACACTCACTTCTTTAACGAAATTGTACAGTTTTCTTACAAAAAACAACAGGTCTATTAATCTTTTCATGATTTAATATGAACCGATTTCTTGTTCGAAGCGCTTTGAGGTGGATACCGCTCTGCTTTTGACTTGTTTCCCTCCATCGTTCTTTTTATTTGATGCTCGTTTTTTCTGCGAATTTGCCTAAGCCATAAACTAGTGATTTTTCCAAAAATTTACAGAATGACATCAGTAAAACACGTGCACAAGAAATATGTCTCTAAGCCTGCAACCTGCTCCGACTGGAAGAATATCTATGTCGTCAGTGTGTTCGCGTTCGTTGATGCGCTGCAGTTCGCATTTTTCGTATGGACCTTCTGGCCTTATTGTCAACAGGTAATATTTTCACCTCTGGTCAGCTATTGCTTAACTTAAAAGTGAGCGCTTCAAAAAGGGCGATAAAATAGAAGAGACTGAATCACATTAATGAAAGGAAACATAGTCAGCGGGTCCAACTATGGCAACTAATCCAAATATGGTCAAAGGATTTGATATGTTAACAACTCGACCTTTTCTGGAGACCCTTAACTTCTGAATCAGTTACTACTCAGAGATTATTCAGAGTAGATAATCTAATGATTTCTATTCGAAAGCCCTATAGAATTAATTAGCACAGCAACTCACCCCGGGAGATGGACCTGCTTACTCGATACCTGCCTCGAGAGCCTTAGCATATGAGGTTCGTTATGTATTTGGCCGGGGGAGGGGGGCTTGCAGTGCTGGGTTGAGAAGTCGCTTAAGATGATCAGCCCAAGTTTTCGAGATATCTTTTTCAACCACGCAATTGAACACGCATCTGGCTAGTCGGGAGTGATTCATAGATGACACCCCCCCCCTGACCTTGGCATAACTTGAACCCACTCGATCAAGATTCCTGGAATGTCACGTTTTGAGATATGAACCAGAGATGATCCAGATAATGATGTCATAACTGCTGGCGCCTTCGATGACGTATCTTCGTTCCCACAACAGGTCGCAACGTTCCGACTTTGAGGTAGCACGCGGTAGACGAAAAACAAATCTCTACGGATGGTCTTGATGGGGCGCGTTATTGGGTTCGAAGTATGAAAGGTGTTCACTTGACGATCAGCAAAATATGAAGGTCATTGCTTCCTTTGTCATGTGAATAAAAATTACTTCCGTTCAAAATTGCCAATAATACGGAAGTCTGTTGCAAGAGGAGATGGCGCAGTGGCTACGGGCGCAAAATTTACCTCTGCGCGATCGGATCCATCCCTAGCGACCAAACACTCCATGAACAGGGTTTATAAGCGAAAACATAAACTTTGACATAAATACTGTCTGTACCTCAAAAATGATTGCATAGCCCAAGTAAGCATGCAATTACCTCCATTAGCGCGAAGGAAATTCAAATGCGTGGCGTGTCTCAGAGGGAATCATCTGAAATTTCAGACAATCGGTGCATCGACATTTTCGTTCGGGAGCACGATCAATAAACCAATAAAAAATCAGTAATGTTCAGCTTGATCCCACCTTGTCCGCCTCGTTCATTGGTCTCATCATGGCCGTCTCGGGATTGGGAGAAGCCGTTGCGGCCCCGATTTTTGGTTAGTTTCTTTCTAGCTAAGTTTTCTTCTTACTACTTTTCTCGTTGTTGTTTTATCTACCATAAAATTTTGACTGTCTCTTCTCGATGGGTTATTTTTTCAGAGCGTCGCTGGACGCATAAATAAATAAACGAGTAAATAAATAAAAAAATCTTTGAGTAGCTATTGGATTTTCAGGATACTGGACCAACTGCACCGGGCTGATCATTCCGCCACTTGATCGCCTCGGTCGGAATGTCCATCGTTGGTAATGTGGTATACATGTGCCTGAATGAGGTCCCCATAGGCCTGAGGACCTATGGGCTTTTACTTTCACGGTTCCTGAATGGCGCTGGGAGCGGTGAGTTATTTTTTCCTGCTGTGGTTTGTTCCAAAATAGGGCAAAAAAAAGGATTCCATTTTTATTTCAGTATCGCCGGCACATATTGCGATATCGCGGCGGCGAGGACCCAAGAGCGAGCGCGATCGATGGGCTCTTTCAAGGTGGTGGACGCTTGTGTGGACTCACATTGGGCCCGGATAGGGGTTGCCTGTTCAGTTTAGTCATATGATTAATAGCATGTGATAGGAACCCGAATTTTTCAACCATCAATGATCATTTGCAAAGCGCGTGAACACATTGGGCGCCATCGCCTGTCAAGCTGATTGATGGCGATTCTTGGGCAATTCGGTGAAGACGATTACGAAAACCACAAGGGCTGTTTTGGAACATCAAAGATCGACTTCGTTGGGTTAAATGGTGGGAAGTGTGATCTCCTGATATAAACGTCCGCTACAACTGTACCGATACGATAACTTTGACGCTAGGGCAGAAGTAGGGTCAGCCGCGACGTTGGGAATTATTTTGAGAAATTATTCGACCCCTCCTCCCACGTGGTCTCTTCACGACACCTACTTCCACCACACCTGCTTCCACCACATGTAAGGGAGGCATCGACGAATACGATCACTCGCAGTCCGGTTATCTCAAACTTCCAGCTCACCATATGGTTGTGTCGCATTAGATTTGGTTCTGATCGTGGAGGCCGGTAGACACCTCGAACCCGACCATTTTTTATACGATCAAGGGTCGTCGAGCGGAAAGGGGATAAATATGCTTAACGAATAAACTAATTTGGGCAGAGGGAGTTGTGTGCAATTCTTTGGGTCTTCTTTGCACCCGTAAGGTCTGCCACAGGTACAAAGCCTCATTCAAAACGATGAAACAATGAAGCTTGTCGGTAGTCACTGATGCACAAATACGTGTGGCAAAGCCAAGTGATGTTTTGAATTTTCTTCGATTTTGCGATGGCGTATTGATGTGAGCGCCATTCGTGAAGGCTATGTTCAGCAAGGGAATGTTTTTTTATAACATAGACCGAGTTTACTGCCGGAATTGTCGTTATTGAACGATCTTAATGTTTAATATTCACTTTATCAAGGACTTTTGCAAGTAATAGGTGAACTCTCAATTCAGTTATTTTCAGCAGCTCAAATGCTGTTCACATGGATCGGTGGAGAAGGAGTGGATGTCGGTTTCATGCGAATTTCCATGTACACAGCACCGGCCATACTCGCCATTGTGATCAATATCGCTTGGTAGGCGGAGTTCCCCACAAGTTTCTCGCTCTTGCCAGCCCCTTTCTATGCTTCATCATGTTCCAGTGTCATCTTCCTTGTTTTCTGTTTGGAAGATGGATTGGATCGTTACAATGGTTCTGACTCGGACAACGTTTCCACGTACAGTATCGCAGCCGCCAGTGACTCTGATCTTGGTGAGTTTTGTCCGTAATTGCGACATTACATTATTGTTCTGGTGTTGATCAAAGAAATTACAGAGAGAAACGCGGTGAAGACAGTACGAATGGATGTACTGGCTGTAGTTGTGTGTATGTGGACAAGAGCAGCACGCATGCTGATCACAGCCAATGTGGAGAGGTAACTTCTCACTCTTTTATCCTTTGCAGCAAGAAGCGAACTCCAGGGACGGCCAGGGTTTGATGGGGGAAAAACGGGAGGGGGACGAAGATAACGCGAAGCCCTTCATCCACTCCCCTCCGGGAACAAAGTCCTCTACGCGCTACCCGTGAAGACCACTTGGACAGGGAAGAGGTGTGACAGGACGACTTAAGGCAGCCGGGTCTCTCATTCAATAGATGAGGGAAGTGGAGTATCAGGAAGTAATGCTGAGTGAGATGGGTCAGTAAACATTGCGTTGCCGGTGAGAATACGAAACTTGCTCTACTTTCCAATTTCCTTCCTTATTTCGTATCGGCCAGCCTTCTGGTATTTGGCCATCACAAAGCTAGAGAAGTTCATGTGCCCGCTCACTCAGTTTTACTTACTACCTAAAACCTCTCGGCCACGCACAATCCAGCTCTTTTTCAAGAGCTTCACGCCCTCGTTCCTATCTATACCTTCACTTTTTCCCGATGCGTCCCGTTGGATAACCTTTGTGGGAAAAGTGAACCCTTTCTTCCAGCTCTGGTGGGGCTCTTACCCGAATTCATGAGCTCTGATTGGCCCCGTGCGTTGAAACTAGTGTATGGCAATTATCGATTACCAGCTTACGAATTACAGTATCGGTTCACCATTCTCCGAGGTGATGTTCGGTCTGGACAACGAGCAAGTTCTGAACTACAACTCCATGATGCAGGGAGCCGTCGGCGTCCTCACCACCATGATGTTCATTGTTTACGCCTTCACTGACTATTCGAAATGGTAAGTAATAGGTACCAACCGAGAACCCAGGCTAGACTTTAGGCCAAAAATTGCGCTTAACAAGCCATT